GCAAGGCGGGGGAGGCAGACGGCCAGCACACCAGCTCTTTCTCAGGCAGAGGACTGGATTGGGACTTCCTTCCAAAACCCAATTTCCACCTGTAGGGCACAAGCATTACCTGGGCACAGAAAGCTGAGCATGTTGGGTCCCAACTGCCTCCACCTCAGTTCACTCACTGGTTCCATGCTAATTTTGAGAGCGGTTTTTCTCAGCCCTGTTGTCATTGGGTGCTAATTTAGGTTCAGGGGAGGAAGAAATAGAAAGGGGAGAAAGAGGAAAGAAGAAAAGAGAGAAAAAGGAAAGATGGTAAAGATTACAACGTGGAAAACTAGGATCTGTTTTCTTTTTTTTTTTTAATCCTCACGAGAGGATCCTCCTCTCCCTCCCCCCATTGTTTTTCAGAGACAGTGTGGAAGGGAGGGAGGGAAGGGAGAGCAAGAAACATTGATATGAGAGCGACATATCGATTAGTTGCCTTCCATAAGAGCTCCAAACAGGGCCAGGGACTGAACCCACAAATTTTTGGTGCACAGGCCGATGCTCTAACCACTGAGAAACACCAACTAGGGCTGTTTTAATTCTTTTACAATTCTTTTTTTTTAAATATATTTTATTGATTTTTCACAGAGAGGAAGGGAGAGAGATAGAGAGTCAGAAACATCGATGAGAGAGAACCATCAATGAGTCGCCTCCTGCACATCCCCCACCGGGGATGCGCCCGCAACCCAGGTACATGCCCCCGACCGGAATCGAACCTGGGACCTTTCAGTCCGCAGGCCGACACTCTATCCACTGAGCCAAACCGGTTTTGGCCTTTTACAATTCTTTGTAACATCTTTCAGGGCCTGAAATTGTCTTAGTTATTCGTGTGCATGTTTGTTTTCTGTCTCCCCTACTGCTAGCACATTTCTGTCTTGTTTGTCCCCATAGAACAGGGTTGGGCAAACTTTTTGACTCGAGGGCCACAATGGGTTCTTAAACTGGACCGGAGGGCCGGAACAAAAGCATGGATGGAGTGTTTGTGTGAACTAATATAAATTCAAAGTAAACATCATTACATAAAAGGGTACGGTTTTTTTTTTTAGTTTTATTCATTTCAAACGGGCCGTAGTTTGCCCACGAATGCCATAGAAGATGCTCAATAAGTATGTGATGCAAATCCCACACCAACATGATAAATCCACGAGTAAATTATTTGAAACTTTCCAACCATTCTTCCCATTTCTCATGAGCACAAATAATCTCTCCCTCACCTAGCCTAGTCTCCATCACCTGGGTGCTTATTAAAACTACAAATTCTTAGGCCACACCTGCAGAGACTGGTTTGTCTCTGCTCTTTAACTACACATCTGCCTGCCTTTAGAACAAACAGTTCGAAAAGGATAAGAAGAAAGTCTGTGTGACAGTCTGGGGAATGCTTCCATGCATCAAACAAGACACTAGGATTGTTGATTATATAGGAGAAATTGGAACAAACATACAGCAATTTTTTGGGGGGTGGGGGGCGTTCAACGTGTTAATTCAAGTTTGCTTTTCTCCTTCCCAGATGTGGAGTGGAATGACTGGGCTTGGAAACTGCTAGAGATTAGAATCAAAGACTCAAAAAATGTAAGGCTTTACTTAACTTGTTTCCTTCTTATCACCTACATCCAAAACATCAAGATTTCCCCTTCCACGAACACTGTGCTATTCAAAGCATTTTCTGCCGACCAGCAGCATCAGCCTTACCTAGAAGCTTGATGGGGAATGCGGAACTGCAGACCCCATTCCAGAGCCGTGAAATCAGAATTTACAATTTCATATGACCCCCAGGTGATCTGTGTATGGTTTGAGAAGAACTACAGCAATTTCTGGACATACTGAACCAGTGCCTACTATCTCCAAAAATGTGCATCGACCATTAGCACTTACCTGCCAAACTGGACCCGCAGAATGAGGAGAACTCCTAAGTGAACTGTTTTCCCAAGTGGCAGCTGTAGACTTCCTGGACCTGTGCATTAGGGAAAAGAAAAGAAGCGTAAAAAGATAAAACTCCAAAGCAATGGCAAAGCATTATGATTCGGTTTTTAGGTAACAGTAAGACATTATCTTCAATTTCGTTAGGTGTTAATGGTGATGGGAAGGAAGGAAAGAAGGAAAGAAAGAAGGAAGGATTAGGTGTTAATGGTGATGAGAAGGAAGGAAGGAAAGGAAAGAAAGAAGGAAAAAAGTCCCTATTTGTTAATGATGAACCATATTAAAGTATTTATGTATGAATTCATATACTATCTTGGGTTTGCTTTAAAATGCACCAGAAAAATAAAAAGTGGGGGGAAGAAAACAAATTAGTAAAATGGTGATAGTTTTTGGAACTGAGTTATGAATACACTGAGATTCATTATAATAATTTCCCTACTTTTATGGAAAATTTTATTAGAAGACTTTTTTTTAAAGTAGTCTCAGGTTAGTGATAACCACCAGTCCCACCAAGAGGTACTTGTGGTGGGAAAGTGTAGTCAGGAATGTTGTGTATTTGCCCGAAAGTGAAGGTTGAAGGGAAATAGGCAAGAAGTAAGGTTTATGGACCAGACCCCGTGGGTACATTCCTTCATTTAATGCCCCATCATAGCCCTGTGACATTAAGGGCACCTTAACCAAGTGGCTGAATTTAGTATCACCAATCATGGGATAAACTGGTTTTGTCTGCCTCCTGGTGGAAGGTATGGGGAAGAACACGACATCATTGCTGAAAATGTTTACCTGGAATCTAATCATGAGGGAGCTGAATTTGGGACATTTTACCAGACAATGAGCCTGAACTCTTCAAAACTGTCACTATCATGAAAGGCAAAAAAAAAAAAAAAAATTAAAATCAGGCATACTGCTTTAAATTAAAGAAGACTAAAGAGATATGATCTACATGCAATGGGTTAAACTCTGACTGGAACTAGATTTTTTTTTAAAAGCCTGGGAAAAAACCATTGTGGGGACAATTCAAAACTTTGAAAATGAATAGTGTGCCAGATATTTTTGAGAAAAAAAAATTTAAATGTATTGGGTGTGACTTAAAAAACACACAACCTTATGAGGAAAGTGGTAACCCTCTTTTAGAGACTGGGAAACGGAGGTTCAGAGAGACAGTGGCCCACAGCTGGTAAACGGTAGCACAGAAATGGGCCCGTATCTCCCTGCCTCCAGAGCACATGTTCTTGGCTAGCGGATGCTTCTTCCTCCACAGCAGCCCCAGGAAGTAAGAAATAGGACTGTGGTCTACAGTGCGTCCAAGGGAATGGTTGTGGCTAAAGATGGTAAAGAGGTACCATTCACCGTTGTCATGGAACCAGCAGTCATTCACTTATTTGAAATTGTCGAGTGACAATGACAAGCAAAACCAGGCAGCCGCTGGACTGAGGTTGTTTCCAGCCCTAGTGAAGGAGACAGACATTCATCAGATGCTGGAACCACTCAAAGGAATGCATAGTAACAGAAGACGATAATAGCAATGATGAAAAGGAAGTGTCCCAAGTGGAGGGACACAAGGAGACTTCCATTGAGTTGTGCTTCTAAGAAGGAATAGAAGCTGATACGGACAGAGGGAAGGGCGTGAGCAAAAAGCCGATGGCAAGAGGAGGAAGCATGACCTCCCAGTAGGAAAGCCCCAAGGATGTGTACAAAGTGAGAATGGAGGAAAGCAGGTAGGGCCAGATCATGGACCTTGAAGGCTATGCTAGAGATTTGTTCAATCTTTAAAGCAATGGCGCATTATTAAAGGGGGTAAGCAGGTGACAAAATCAAATTTCATGTTAAAAAAAAAAAAGACAAATTTCAGCCAACATGTTGAGAGGATAACTGAGCAGAAAAGATGCCGTTAGGCCAGTTAGGAGATTGTGGTAGCCACTGGAACTTGGATAGAGTGAGCAGTGGAGATGCAAAGGCCAGATCCAAGGCGTACTTGGGAGGACTGAGTATGGGAAAATGCAGAAAAAGGAGAGGCTGAGGATGACTCTTAGGTTTCTAGCTTGTGCAGGTGGACAGAGGTGCCATTCCTTGAGAGAAGTGACACTGGGAGAAGGCCAGTTTTGGGAAGATATGAGTGAGCTCTTAGAAATGAAGAGTTAGTAGTGCTTTTGAGACCTCCAAATGGAGATGGGAGAGAGCAGAGAGATGTGCGAGTCCAAAGTTCAAAAGAGAAGTCTAGAGTAGTGATGTACATTGGGAATCATCACCCTATGGTTACTGAGGCAGGGATAAGACGTCTCAGAAAGGGAGGAGTTAGCCAGTGGAAACCTCTGGGATTCAATGGTTCTTAAGGAAAAGGCAGGAGTTGATGCAGAAATATTGGAAGGGAGAAGTGGAGGGGCTGAGTGAGGAATGTGAGGACAAGTGGCGGGCCTTAGTGTCGTTCCCACTGCCTCCAGAAGCACTGCATTCCCTCCAGCAGGGGCACCGTCCTCACTAGTGTTGGAGGACGGCTCCCAAGCTTTCCCACCTGACAGGCTCTATCACTCACCCTCCAGGCAAGCCTCTGCCGGCAGCCTGCCACTGCTTCATGGGAAAGCTGCTCTGGCCCTGGGCTTCTCTCCTGGCATTCCCCAAATTATACCATGATTTATTAAGCAGCTAACTTCGTTATTAACCAATCCCGCGGCGATGGGCAGAATTTATGGGCAAAAGTCATGGTGATAACCATACTATGGAATACCATGTAGCAGGAAAGAGAAAAATTTTTCTGTGTGCACATATGGAAAGCTCCACAATTTCTATATATATTTATATATTTAAAGAAAAATAGCAAGGTACAAAACTGTGATTGCATGCTATCTTTTGTACTGGAGGAGGAATATAAATTTGTATTTCAACTGGCTTGTATATGTCTAGAGAAACCATACATACCATACAATTCACCCATTTAAGTGTACCATTCAATGATTTTTAGTATTTTCTCAGTTGTGCAACCATCAATACAATCAATTTTAGAACACTTTCATCACCCCAAAGAGAAACCCTATACCTGTACGCAGTCATTGTCCATCCCAAAACCCACATACACCCTCACCCTGAACTCTAGGCAACCACTAATCTTGTTTTCTGTCTCTGAATTTGCCTATTCTGGACATTTAATATAAATGGAATCACACAAACTAGTCTTTTTGATTGGCTCCTTTCACTTAGCACAGCGGTTCTCAACCTGTGCGTCGCGACCCCTTTGGTGGTCAAATGACCCTTTCAAGGGGTCGCCTAAGACCATCCTGCATATCAGATATTTACATTACGATTCATAAGAGTAGCAACATTACAGTTATGAAGTAGCAACGAAAATAATTTTATGGTTGGGTCACAACATGAGGAACTATATTTAAAGGGCCAGAAGGTTGAGAACCACTGACTTAGCACAATATTTTCAAGGTTCAATCATGTTGCAGCCTACATCAGTACCTCATTTCTTTTTACTGCCAAAAAATATTCCATTTTACGGCTATATTACATTTTATTTATCCATTCATCAGCTGATGGACATTTAGGTTATTTCTATTTTTTTATTATTATGAATAATGTTGCTATGAACGGTCTTGTAAAAGTTTTATGTGCACACAGGTTTTCATTTCACTTGGTTTATTTTCTCTAGGAGTGGAAGTGATGGGTCACATGGTAACTGTGTGTTCATCCTTTTGAAAAACTGCCAAACTGTCTTCCAAAGTGGCTGAATCATTTACATTCATATCAGCAATGTATGAGTATTCCAATTTCTTCACATCCTGGCCAATACTTGCTATTGGGTGTGTGTGTGTGTGTGTGTGTGTGTGTGTATGTTTATATAAGCCATTGCAGTGGGTATGACCCCACTGTGATTTTGATTTGCATCTGCCTAATGGCTAATGCTTGTTGACCACTTCTTTGAAAATACATTTTCTAAATATCTTTGTCTCTGCCCTGGCCGTGGAGCTCAGTTGGTTATAGCATCATCTGGGATGACAAGGTTGTGGGTTTGATCCCTAGTCAGGGCACATACAAGAAACAACTAATGAATGCATAAGTAAGTGGAACAACAAATTGATGTTTCTCCCTTTCTCTTTCTCTCTCTCATAAATAAATAAATAAATAAATAAATAAATACCTCTGTCCCTGAATCTTCCTTCTACGTTAGTACTATCTTTAATCTTCGTATCTCCTTGTTGTAGTTCACTTAAAAGATAAAAAGTAATGGCCATACATTAGTCTTTGTATTTTCTCATTCATTCATTCATCAACTATGACTGAGTACCTATTATATGCCAGAGGCTGTTCTGGTTACTGAGCATATAGAAGAGACTACAACAGACCAAAAAATTCTTGCCCCATAAAACTTACATTTTCATGGTTTAAATTTTTTCCAGTTTTATCCAGCTATAATTGACATACAAAACTGTGTAAGTTTAAAGTGTATAGCAAGCATGTCAAACGTGCAGCCCATGGGCCGTATGCCTCATTTTATTGGCCCATGTTAGCCTTTGAGTTTGACATGCTTGGCGTACAGCCTACTTAGACTTGACTATGTATATTGTATATGAACATGTATATTATGAAGTGATGCCCACATGAAGTTCAGTTAATATCCATTATCTCATAGAGATTTTTTAAAAAGTTTTTTTCCTAGAGGTGCTCATCTTTTTGTCATTCATTCTGTTATTGTGGTATATCACATTGATTTTTCATATTTATTCCCGCATCCCAGGAATAAATCCCACTTAGTCAGGATGTATAATCCTCTTAATGTGCTGTTGCATTCAAACTGCTAACGTCTCTACATTGTTTCAATTTTAGTATGTGGGCTGCCAAAGCAAAAACTCCAAGTGGCTTTATTTTTGTAACGGGGCAAAATGCACTCTGAATTTTATAATACACGTTGGATTTCAGTTATCAACGAGCAAATGTCTCACGGAGCAAGCAGCGTTTCCCCCCGGCTTGGAGCATTAACAAAAATGAAGACACACTTGCGACTTCTGATCCTTTTCTTTGCAGCCTTGGCATCGCCTCCTACACACATACCTCAATGGAATGGAAGGCGCTGTGCAACAATTTGACCCATGGCAGCATCCATATTTGCCACTGCCACGATACCGTCTGGAACTTGTTTGTAAATACACCAACATGGCTGAAAACCAGTAAGATGTACTCGTACTCGGAAATCAGTTCTCCTCCAACGGACGCAATAATTCGCGCTGTGGCGTGGTTAAAGCATGGCCCCGGACGCGTGGTGATTCACTGGTGGGCGGGGCGGGGCGGGGCGGGGCCGCGGACGCTCTGGCTGCGAGATGCGGGCATTCACCAGGCACGTGGGAGCGTGAAGTCCACGGTTCTTTGGGGGCAAAGTTCCAGGGACCAAACTTTTGGAAACCGCTCCTGGGACGGAATTTCTGCTTCTGTTTCACAAACCTCGGCCTTGCTGGGCCTGGCCCAGCACTGGGCAAGGTTAAGGGTTTACCTAGGGATGACCTGCCGACTTCCCGGAAGCCTGCTGGCCGCGGCCCAAACAGCAGGTCACGGAAGAGGAAGTGAATCACTCCACAGGGCGCGAGTGCGCGGGTCCAGGAGGAAATAAAACCCAAAGTCATCACTGAGGAAAGTCCGCGCCCGCTTAAAGGAACTGACCCTCGCCATCCCCTCCGGTTCGGCGCCAGCATCCCCGAGCGGCGCCTCGCAGCCTCGCGACGACGCATGCGCCCCGCGCAGCGCAACGCCGGCCGCGCTCGCCTCCGCGCATGCGCAGCCAGGTCTCCCGCCTCTTCCCCAGGGTCGGGGGCCGGTGGCGGCCGCGGACCCGAGTGGGCTGCTTGGTTGTACCCCCAGTGGGTAGCTCCCCCGCAGGCAGTGCACCGGCCCAGCGGGAAAGGGGAACCTGCAGACCGGAGCCGGTGTCTCCAGCCTTGTCGCGCATCCTTTGTTTAACCCCGGGACGCTCAGGCGCCGCCGCCTCTCCTATTGTCTTCTCCGTTATCCGCCAAGCAGCTGGAAGTCGTCTCTCGGGGAATTTTTAACTTGTTTGGAAGCAGCCTCGGCACGGGGTTCCTTTTTTTTTTTCTTTTTAATCTAGAAACATCCAGGACGGCCCTGGCCGGGTAGCGCAGTTGGTCCTCCCCATCCAAGTTTGTAGTTGGATCCCGGTCAGGGCACAAAGAGGAATCCACCAACGACGAATGCATAACTAGAGCAACAAGTCCGTGTCTCTCTCTCAGATCAACACATTTTTTAAAAAACACAATTTTTTAAAGAATGTTTACAGAAGCATCCCGGACATGAGGGACGCCTCAAATGTCATTTCTTCAATAGGAAACTGAATTATAAAGTTGAGTGATACTTTGCAGAAAGGAAGTAAAAGAGGAAATCTCCCCCCCCCACACACACACACGTTTACATATGCATATACACAGGGTAATCTCAAAGAATGAACCAGCAGCTGCTAACTGATCAGAGTGGGGGGGTGGGGGGTTGGGGGGGAGGAAAGAGGGGAGAAGGGTCGTATTGTTTTAAGTTTGTCCAATGCGCATGGATTGTTTTGTAAATGTTTGGATGTTTGACTCCATCAAAATGTAGACACCAAGGAAATTCGGAAATTTAAGAAGTCTGAGTAGAATTGAGTAATGCTTGATAGAATATGTATGTTTGAAGAAGAAATGTCTTGTGTAACCCACCAAGTCTTCCTGTTTATTTCTGAACAACTTTTTGGAAAATTATCAGCAGTGGCACCATACAGGAAACCAATCTTTATCATCTCAATCATTGCATATTCCTTCTGGATTTGCTGAAGAAAATGGAAAGGTAAATTGTAGTGTGAGCTCCCTGAACGGGGGACATGTGATGTTTATTTTTGCAAAGGAAATTACTTGGGTGTGACTGCCAGCTGTTGATACCCAAGTTCCTCTTTCAGATAAGGAAAATGTCCCTCCGTGCGGAATTATAATATATTTCTGCCCCCAACAATTGCGAGATAACTCGACTCCTCAGACTCCCTCCTCTAAAGGACATGGTGAGGCAAAAAGTTAGGCAACTGTGCCGAAGAGGGATTGCAGAAGAAAAGCTCATAATGAAAGGAGACCTGGGCACCTTCATTCCCTGGGTTAACGGAACCAGTTCGCCTTCGTTCCCCAGGGAGTTAGTGGATCTGGACAAGTGTAGGAAATTGGGACCAGAGATTGGGGACCCAAAAGGTTGAAAGTGTAAAGTCTAAGGCCAGAAGCTAATAATGTTGCTTCTTAGTTTGCCTTGTGTGTAAATAGGAAGCCAGAAGTTGAGTTCCCAAATAAAATATTTTAGGAATAGTGTTTCTTAAGTAACTCCAAACATCAGTACAGCTACAAAGAAATAAATGAAGCCTGATGGGGAAGGCATCAATCTGAGCAATGAGCAGCACCTGGGGATAGAAATTTTCCACAGAAGAGGAAAAAAAACCACAAAACCAGAGAACATACTTAGTAAATTTTATTTTTTGTATAAAAAGAGACAATAATTTATGCCTTTGCCAAAATAAAGGATCTTGTCAATATAAATGTTCCTTAGAAAACATATGAAAAGATAATATAATATATATATTAATAAATCAATAACATTACAGGCAAAGTAACAATGATTCTATAACAATGACAAGTAGGGATATTTGTGACCCTTACAGAGCAGTGTTTCTGGAAGATCCAATGATTCCTCCCTTTTTTTTTATTTTTTAGTATCGATGTGTCTTCATTTTAAGAAAGCTTGATGCACACATATCTAAATTTAGAAAGGCAATCATTACAGGATATTTATTTGTATCGAAAGTAATTCTTTACCCCCCAAAAAGTGTTTCTGTAAAGGATGCTTTGAATTAGCAAATTTTCCTAATGGGTTTAGAATATAATAAACCAAATACATATGTCCTCAACTTCTTTCATTATAACTCTAGCGCATAAAGTGAGGAATACCTTAAGTTAGGCAGTAACAGAATTGGGCTTTAGATCTGACTAGAGAGACTATGTTCTTATAGCGTGAGGAAATGGTTGGGGGCCCAAGTTCTCTCTCTCTCTTTTGTTTCTCTTATCTGGAGCTCTGAATTTTCTTGTCTCTACTGCTTGCTGGTGAATTTTGCTCACCTGCTACTCTCAGAAAAAAAGGAGGAAGTCATCATGGAAGTGGGGCAAGTGAATGAAGTAGTCACTCCAGCAGGGCAGAGTGAGAGAAGAATCTGGGATTCAGAGTGTGCATATGGATATGGCTGGGGTAAAGCAGGGTCAATTCTGAACCCTCGATGTGTTTTTGAGGCTCCTCTCCCAACAGGGGGCGCCTGACTCCCTGAGGAGCAGCAGGGCCCAGTCCGGCCCTCCCTGGAGGGGACGTAGTCGGGAGCATGGGCTCAGGCCTATTTGTCACACTCCTCGGGGCTCCCTTCAGCACAGTGGTAGTGCTGCTCACAGAACTCCTGGATCCGGCTGCAGGCCTCCAGCATCATCACTTCAGGGACGGTGATTACCACTCGGAAGAAATTCGGGTACTCGAAGCACTGCAAAAAGAAGAGCCTGTTATTCTCAGAGCAATGCAACCTGGTCCTGGACCACCCTAAAATGGCCAGGGCCCCAACAGCAAGAAGCAATGCCATTGACTCAGGGCATTGTTGGGACACTAAGTCAGTCACTGAGTTAATTCATCTTAAAAGCTTGATTTCCCCTCCCCGGGAATGTTCCACCCCACCTTTTCTTCCCAGTACTGATGGGATAATGATGGAGAGAAACAACTTTTAAATAGAGGCCACAAGACACATTGGGTTGGATCTTATCAAATGAGAATACACTTTGTTGGGGGAGGAAAGGTGGCGATAAAAACCAGCTCAGGGAGAGCTCCTGAGAGTCTAGAACAGCCATGGGCAAACTACGGCCCACGGGCCGGATCCGGCCCGTTTGAAATGAATAAAACTAAAAAACAAAAAAAAGACCGTACCCTTTTATGTAATGATGTTAACTTTGAATTTATATTAGTTCACACAAACGTGGAGAATGTCCTGGGAGGTAAGGAAACACTCACCGTTGCTGGGAGGCAGTGGACAGATTGTTCAGCAACTAACCGCTCCGTGAACTCCACATCATTCTCAAATTCTGGAAAATGTTCCATCTCAATTTCAACCTATACCAATAACAGGGAGAGGCAAACTTAGCAGAAGGAGGGAAAACGGGCCAACTCCCTATGCCAGAAAGTAAGGTAGGGACTGCTCTAAAAAATACCTTGGAACTCTGCAACTGATAACTAGCTTGATGAGTAAGTTCTAGCCCTTACGAGCTCATGGAATTTTTCATAACGAAGAGAGAATATATTTATATTAATATTTTAGTTTATTGAGCGGTTCCTTCCTGTATGCTGATAAATGACAGCTGGAAATAGAATGCCAGTATTTCTCAAAAAGTAAACTATTAGCCTCATGGGTCAGGCAATTCAGAATTGCATGGAACGTTCCCACCCATTGCAAGATATTTAGCGGGCCTGGCCCACAAAATGCCAACAGCACCCCCCAGTCATTCTAAAAACAAGATTCCGGTACATTCCCATACATTCCTAGGGAACCAGTATCATTCCAAATTGAGAACGACAATGTGTAGAGAGCCTCTTCTGTCTTATTCTTCTCTATGTGTATATATAAAGTGAGTATATGAAGGAATTAACTCATCTTACGAGGGTTCTGTTTTGTCTAACACTGAGCTTAGGTCATGTCAGTGGAACAGTTAGGAACACAGTAATTCCCAAACTGACTGACACAGGAGACTCGCTCTTTGTGAGCCCTGCACCCTGGCTCTCCACAAGTGACTGCCCCCGCACTCTTACCATGAGGTACATGGCCCCAGAAGGGCGGACTGGCCGCAGTCCAGGGATGGCAGCCAACGCCCCATAGCACAGATCAGCATTGGACTACGAGAGAAGGCAGGTTAAAAGTTAAGTAAAAGAAAAAACAAGTCATTAAAAGAAGAACCCAAAGCAGCCTGTGTGACTCAGTGGTTGAGCCTCTGCCTATGAACCAGGAGGTCACAGTGCGATTCCCGGTCAGGGCTCATGCCTGGGTTGGAGGCTCGATCCCCGGTCGGGGGCATGCAGGAGGCAGCTGATCAATGATTCTCATCATCGATGTTTTCATCTCTCTCCATCTCCCTTCCTCTCTCTGAAATCAATTTAAAACAACATTGTTTTTAAGGAGAGTCCACATCAAAGGTAAGGCATAAGGAGTCAATGAGGCAAAAACCTGCCCCATGAACCTTTGGCCAGGAGCAGAGTGAACTGCCAGAAGTCGGAAATGTCTGGGTGAACAGACACCTGCTCGGATGCCACCCCCGGATTTGGACGTACCATCATGGAACGCTGCTCCAGGAATGAGGACCCATTACTCCTAATTCCACTGGTGGCATTCCCTGACCCCCCACAGTGAAAGGCCACGGGCTGCCCTTACCTTGAGGAAGCTTAGGGTGTCGTGGTAGAACTCTTGAGGGGTGCGACGCAGGATGCTTTTCAAAGCTCCCTGGACAATGGTGCAGGGTCCCAGGATCCGCTGACTCAGCTTCACCAGCCCATCTCGGATCTAAAAGCCCCCCCAGCAAACACAGTATTTAGCTTCTCTTAAGCATTCTGGCCTTGGGAACTCTGGTGCTGACCATTCATTCTATCGGTTCTTACATTTCTGGAGAAGTGATGGTGCCTAGTGTCATGCT